TTCCTTAACTTGTAAAAACAGTATAATATAACCTTTATCATTAATAAAAGTCAACATATACCAGTAGTTGATAAAAAATAATCAAAAATATTATAAAAAATGTTCAAAAATTATAAAAATATCTAAAAGCTACAAACAATGACACAATAAAATTACAGAAATGAATAAAAAATTACACAAAAATATTCAAAAATTTCATAAAATGACAAAAAAATTTGTTCCTTTTCTAATTAATTAATAATTAAAATTAACTTTTATTAATAATTGGTATTATATTACACTGTTTTCATAAATTGATAGAGAACATTGTACATAAAACAATTTCAGGATCCCAGATATTTCCAAACTTAAAATTCAAATTACTATTTAATCCTTTTATTTATTTTGGATCATCTTTCTCATAATTTATGGAAACTTTATTTTTTTTGGCCAAATATAATTTATGAAAACTTCCAGTTCTATTTTGGGGGCAATAATTTGACCGTTACAATCCGACGTCTTGAGTTATTCGCAGAATCTCGCCGTACGGGTTGTATAGCTTCTGACGCATCTCCAAATAAACAAGTGTTTCCTGATTTTTTTTTTTCCTACGCCAATTTCCAATAAAATCTTAGAACCTGTTTGTTTGTTATTTTAAAAAACTGTTTTTTTATCTTAATATTTTTAACATAAAAAAACTTGTTTGGTTAATTATTTTTAATTTTTTTTAAAACAGTTTTAAATTTTTTGATTTTAAACACACAAAAACCAAAACAAGTTTTAGCTATTTCTGTTCCTATTTATTTTAGTTTTATAAAAAAAAAGTAGAAAACAAGAATGAAAATTGTTCTCAATAAAAAAGAATCACCTATTTCAAAAATTTATAAAACTGCTTTTGAATTATTATTACCAGACAAGTTTTTTTTATTTGTTCTCACAAATAATTTTTAAAATTGTTTTGTAAAATAACATTTGAAAATGAAAAATGAAAACAACAACCAAACAAGCCCTTAGTATTTTATGTACTAATAGTCTACTATTAATTAACACTAGAATAAATTTAAAATTTCAAATCCAGTGGTTAACCAAATCTACTATTGTTGGACTTGAAAAGCATAAAACAAACCGAACCCATGTCTCATGGATTTAAAGTCAGTGATTCAGATGAGTCAGACTTAATTGAGATTGAGTTTATTTAAATCGGGCTTAGAGCATCTTGCTTTCTTAAAAAAACTCATATATCTGAGCTCAATCTTATTTTTTTTCGACTGCATTTTGACTGGCCTATCGAGCTTGGCCAAAAATGCAAACTCTGTATACATATAAAGCTAAAAAATTTCAATAGTCGAGCTTATTTGGGTAGGACTCAATTCGGGCATGTTTATTTAGATCGAATTTAAAATATTCTACTTTTTTAAAAAAGTTTATATAATCAAGTTTCGTCTTAATTTTTTTTTAAACAAGTTTAGATTGACTAGTAAAACTTAATTTGAATTACTCGCTTTACATGTTCTAGTTGCGATGTAGCTCAACATTGTTCTTTGGATCATTATATTGCTCATTCTCTCCATTTGAAGTAATGAAAATTAAATTAATAAATTACGCAGGTTTTATAAATTGCCAGTGTAGGTTGACCTTATGAGTGGTCAAGAATCTACAGAACATTTCTAACTTCAATCACAGGTTAATCTGATTTTCCTTAAAATAATCCAAAGGCGAGGGAGTTTTCGAGAAAAACTCTCACATATAAAATAAAATGTACACCATTTCAATTAAATAAAATTTTATATATAATTATTTTTAATAATTTAATTTTTAAGACAGGACATCTCTTCAATTTCTTATTTGTTTCTCTCTTTATTATTATCAACGCAGTATTAATTTATATTTACAGTCACATAACACAGTATGCTTTTATTGGGTTATTTATAAATGATGTGGTGTACTGTGTATGCACGAGAATTTCTCCATTTAAGAAGTCTGTTGATTAATTGGTCATTTAGTTGAGTAGATGCCACGGAACAAAATAGTCACTGGCAATGCTTAATAAATTAATTAGCCGGCTTCTATTAGTATTTTCAGCATGCTATTATGCGTTGCTAATTTGCTATGACTTACTTCTTTCATTTAAAAATATAAAATATTTTTAATTAAATCTCACCGCTAATAAAATTATCACCTACTTTCAAACTAACCCTATTTTTTATATTTACTCTTATTAAATATTTTATAATAAATATAAAGTTATTATCAATAGAAATGTTTTGAAAAAAAGCAATGATTGTACCTCAAAAGATTAAAAATCCCTTACATTTTTAAATATTCAATTCCTCAAAAAATATTTTATATTTTTAAATGGAGGAAATATACATAAAAATATACAAGAATGCGTTTCACTATTATCAATTTCGCTAAAAATTAATTTAAATTCTATTATAATAAATAATCTTGCTTTATTTTTAACCTTTTTAATTTTTTTTTGATAATTTTAGACAATCTCTTTATCCATAAAACTTTATGCCAACACGAACAATAAGTCCTCTTTTTAGTTTTATTTACATTTACACATAGTGTCATTAAACAAAAGAAAATCATATAGTATAACTTTAAACAAATTGAAATAAAGTAATTTGTTTTGGTAAGGTTAAATAATGTAAGTTTTGTTAGAACATATTTATATATTATTTGAATTTGAAAAAATTATTTTTAAAAGAAATAAAACTATTATTTTGAAATTTTTAAATAATATATAAATTACTAAATTTTTAGAAATCGAAATCTATAATTTATTCAAATTTTAAAAAATCACATGCTCTTAAAAAAGTACAGTAATACTTTTCTTTTTTTGGAGCAAGTTTAAAATAAAATACAATATACTTTTATGCACAAAAAGAGACGGGATGCAATGCACGTCAGCATCACTCAATTTATGCCATTGCCGACCTGTTCCAAAAGTCCGTTTCTGATGTATATTGGCCAAAGGGCCAAAAAGCAATAAAATCCCGTTTTGGTAAACTAAACGGGAGAGTCTGCCACGTGTACGCATGACGTAGCGTCTCTGAATTCGCCCCTGGAAAGCTCGTTCTCAACGGATCCGTTGATATTTAAGATTTTTTCTCCGAATAATATTAATTTAATGTGCTGTTTTATAATTTATTAATTAACGTTTCGGGTCCAGAGAAGTTTCTTGGGTGTCAAAACCGATGTCACCTCCCGCTGGAGGCACCGCCCGCATCAACAGCTGTAAATTGAAACAAAGAACAAACGTTATAATTTTATACTTACAAAAAAAAATATAAATATATACTTTTAAAAATATAAAATATTTTTAATAAAATTTTATTATTTAATAAAGTAGTTATCAACTTTTAAACTAATTTTATTTTTTTATATTTACTCATATTAAACACCTTACAATAAATATAAAATTATTTATTAATAGGGACATTTTTTAAAAAAAATAATGATTATATCTCAAAAGATTAACAATATTTTATATTTTTTAATATTTAAATTTTTAAAAATAATTTATATTTTTGAATGGAGAAAGTAAATTTTAATCTTAGTATCATATTAATAAATATTTCTTCTGTCCAAATTTACTCATTCTCATGGAACAAGACAAACTGATAAAAATAGAAAATTTATACAAAATATCCTTTCTCCATTCATAAGGTAGTTTTTTATCATATTAAAAAATATAAAGTATTTTATATATTTTAAAAAGCAATTAATAAGATTTTTTTAAAATTTTTTTAATCACAGGTGTAATTAATAATATTTTTAATTACAACACTCTTTTAAATAAGAGTAAATATAAAAAGAGTATGCAATTTTTAAATTGGCTGACTAATTCATTTGAAGTATAATTTAATTAAAAATGCTTATAATATCATATCATTTGGAGAAGTAAGAGATATTTTATTTTTTATGTTTGCCTTCCGTTTAATACTATAACATTTAATACCATAAGGCAATCAAAAGGTAGGAGAACTTTTATTTTGTTAGAAGAATATTATTAAAAACAAGTTATTATTAAGTATATCAAAATATTTAAAAATGAACAAGTACTTAGGAACAAAATGAAAGGGCAAATCAAAACAAGTAAATTGAAATGGATGGAGTACAGATTTAAATTTAATCATGTTTTGGCTGTATCATTAAAAATTATTTTTCTCATATTTCAACCATAGGATAATGATAAAAATACAAAAAAAAATCTAAATTCAATCTTATATATGATAGCTTTGATGTACTCCCTCCATTTAAAAATATAAATATTTTTAATTAAATTTTGCCTCTCAGTAAAGTGGTTAACTACTTTCAAACCAATCCTATATTTTTATATTTACTTCTAATAAACACCCTATAATAAATATAAAATTACTATCAGGGCACTTTTAAAAAATAATTACACCTCAAAAAATTAAAAATATCTTATATTTTTGAATATTTAATTTTTTTAAAAATATTTTACATTTTTAAACAGAAGGAGTAATTGTATATCAAATTATATTATAAATAAAGATATATAATATAGATAATTTATATTCTAGAATTAATTTTGGCATGTAATTTTTTTGTCTTTTCTTCTATTATTTTATTTATTTATCCTGTTAAAGTTTTATGTAAATAATTTTTTTGGTATGTTGAATTTTTAAAATAAAATTTTGGCAGTAGCATTTAAAAGTTTTTCTAAGAAATTTTTTAACTCTCGGGTGAAAATATCTCTCCCGAAATTTAATGTCAACCAGGACAAACTGAAACATATTCAAGGAAGTGGGGTCTCTCCACTTTCTTTTTCTCCATTTCCCTCCACTTCCCCCATCCTCACCATTCATTAATTTTATCATTTAAAAAAATTATTTAATAAAAAAATTTGAATGGTGAGGATGGGGGAAGTGGAGGAAAAGGGAGGGAAAAAAGTGGAGAGACCCCTGATCTCATATTCAATGGAATTTGATTGACAAAAAATATATATATATATATAATTAAATAAATATAAGCTAAGTGTGGTTGACACCTGCTGCTCAAGCCTGCGTCTCTTCCACACTCCTTCCATCTCCCTCGCTCTCTCCCCCTCTGTTTTTTTTTTTTTTTAATTCTCTTTCTCTTTCTTTCTTCTTTTTGTATAAATCACACATTTCGTCTTCTTCATCTTCTTTTTCTTCTCACCTCTAACCCTTGACCTACTTTTCTATTTTACGTTCCTGTTATATTTCTCTGTTTTTGTGAATGGTATTGTAGAGTTTCAGAGTCTTCAGCCTCTGAAAGAAGCTGTACAGTGAAGCTAATTTCAGGTATTTCCTGTTTCATTTCTTCTAGGAAACTCTGAATCTGCACCTTTCTGCAATTGATTTGCCAGCTACGTTCTTAGATCTGCAGCTTTGTTCTTATCCTCGGTTCGTTTTGTGGCCTTTGTTTTCTTCTTCTTTTCTGTTTTCTGGATTATTTTTTTTATCCGATACGATTTCACTTTAAGATGAGAAAGCTTGAGGTTCTTCGGATCTGCTCCGAGCAAAAATTGTTCCGATTGATTTCTGTTCCTGTTATTATTTTATTGTAGAATTATCTATCTTCAGCCTGCCAAATGATTTCCTCTCTCTCTCTCTCTCATTTTCTGCAACCAATTTATGGAAATTCAAGTACAACTTTCTTAACGCTGATAACTATCAGATCTTGCCCTGCGAGGTCAGTTGCTATCTGAAATGTCTCTATGTAAGGGATTGGATTCTCTTGTGCAGAAAGAAACTTCTTCTCGAGCTTTATTTCCAGCTGAGGAAACTCATAATCTATTTAGCTCCGTGTTTGAAAATTATTAAGCTTGTTTTTAATATTTATTTATATTTATTTGCTTGATCTTATCTTATTTTGAGCTGTTCAAATCTTTATGCGCGTTTAGGATGTCTGACAAAATTAATCTAAGGCGCTGAAGATTTCAAACTTCTATTTTATTTATTTTTAAATTTTGAAATTTATGTCCTAAATTTTTCTCTTCCTATCATTTGGTTGTGAGTAGGTCTTGTTGATAGCCGAAATCAAGGAAGAATATGAACCCTTGCGTGATCCAGCAGCAAAAAGTCGTCGCATCCTGTGAAGAAATGAGCAGCAGACACCCTGTGGTTTGTCCCAAACCGCGCCGCCTTGGCCTCTTAAACGTCGTAGTGAACGACCACCCTGCCAGGCCCTTCCGGTGGCATCTCAGGTAAATTTTTCTCCCCGTGCACCTTTGTAGGGATATGCTTTATTCCCCTCCTACACTGGTTCCTTCTCGCTCGTGTTCTAGATTCATATTTCTGAACTAATAATCTCTGATAAAGTCATTTTGATTGAGCTTTGTCCGGCTTGTCTTCTGCAGTTGCCAGGCAGATATAGTTGATTCAAAATCTGTGAGTGATCCATTGGACCTCATCCTGACCAAGGTTAGTCTATTTTGCCATCGGTTTCCTCCGTCATGAACTTGGATTATCTCCAGATGGATCTTATAATTTCAATTTATTCAACTCGGTTCATTGTTAACTTATTTTTTTTATTAACTTTATTTGTGAATTGCAGGGTGGTTGTGGTATAGAACAACCGTGTGCACAGGTAGCTTCGTCGCCCCCCTTTTTTTGCGGGTCACCGCCGAGCAGAGTAGCTAACCCATTGATCCAAGATGCTCGATTCGGGGATGAGAAGATCTCCCCGCTCTCACCATCATCCAGGGTTCCTACCCCATCTGGGCTCTCATCGCCTCCCTCATCTTCCACAAGGAAAGGAGGCTGTGTTCGCTCCAACTTCGGAAGCAATCCTGCTGTGAGAATCGAGGGGTTCGATTGCCTCGACAGGGATCGGCGGAATTGCAGCATCCCTGCTCTGGCCTAGATTGAATCCAATCCACATATTGAGAATAAATATCAATGTAGAACAAGAGAAAGCTTTAGCAGTAGTCACTACTAGTAACCACACAAAAACTTCGTTAACCGGGAGAGGAATTTTGGAAGCGCAGAAGAGTGAAAGGAAAACTATCTTTTGCCTATTGTAAATATGTTTAGAAAGAAGTGTCTGTAAATGTCATGGATGTTGTGTCTTGTAGGTATTATTATCCTTTGTAAGGCCACGTAGTCTGGTCAAGGAAGAAGGTCGAGAGGGGATTAACCCTCTTAGTCTGGGTCTAGTGACATCTAGTAATGTGTACGGCGTACTATCTTCTTCATTGTAATTACACGTCTTTGAGGATAGGAGCTGATAGACTTTTCATTTTGATCTGTTTTCTCTGGGTCACTTGAAATGTAGTTAAGCGCCTCAGGAAGGAAAAAATCTGTGCAAAAGATGGTTTATTTGAGTCCTTCAAGTTACTTGGTCTGTCTTTTGCAATGTGAACGTAAAGTTTGTGTGAAGAAGAGATCTTATTCTGTTGGCAGTGTCGCCATGTTTATCCCCTACTCCCCACCCTCAACGTTCCTGTGTTGCTTTCGGGTCAGGAGCCACAGGACTTCGCTTCTGTTTCACGCATACTTGCCTGTGTGACTGAATAAAATATACGTCATGCTGTTGGGAATGCGAGGGATTCTTTTTGCTTACGGTTTCCCTTTGTTTCTGAACGTTGGTGTAATGGTGTACGTTTATTCGCTGTGACTGTTGTCCTATGTTCACAAGTTTCTTGGTTTGTTTGCTGCTTTGGTCTTGCAGCCGATTTTGGTTCCGAAAGCTGGTGGCCTCTTTCGTTTACGGTTTCCCCTCTTTCCCAGGATGCTGGTACGTTTATTATTCTTCATCAAATCAATCAAGAAAAACAGTAAAATACTTCCAATCTCAAATTGCTAAGACAATCCAAAAGAACTTGATATTTTAAAATGTAAAATACTTTTAAAAAAGTTTAGTTAAATAAACTTATGTTACTATTATATTTTTCCCTCTTTATTTAATGTTTATTTATATTTTCTTTTAATATGTTAAATGAAGGATATTTTTAAAATTTTATATTTGTGTTTTTAAAAAAGAATTGTCGAGTGTATGTGAGATTTATTAATATGTAAGATTTTATTTAAAAGTATTTTATAATTTAGAACAGAGGGAATATGAAGTTTAAACTTTATATGTTATATCCATACTAAATACTCTTCTTGACCTATTTATAAGGTAGAGAAAATATTTATTTTGATACTAGTTACAATGTACTTTAATGATTATTGTGTCAATTTTTATCCTTTTGTCCCTATTAAATATTGAGAATAATTAAATCTTAGAGTATTTTATTTTTAAAGCATGTATATTTAATAAAGGTGAATTTGAAAACATGTAAACTTTTTCAATATGTTTAATAAGGTCTAAAAATTTTCTTGATTCTGGAGAAAATGCCGGAAAGGAAAGATATGATGTGAGGATCTATAATAATCTGTATAAATTATACTGATTTTATCATTTTTACTTGTAAAAGATGAATGACAATATTCATAAAAAAGGATAAAATTGTTAGAATTTCGCTAAAACAAAAAATGAAATTTTCTTTTTTATTCTTATCTAGTTGTTTTTTAAATAACATTATAGATACTTAATTAATGTCTTTTCAGTAATTCTGTAAAAAAGTAGCTTCTATTTAGACTTTAATCTATGGATACTTGTTTTTTTTTTTTTTTTCTTTCTCATTGATCATCATCCATTTTGAAATCATAGAAGTGGAAGATGATGAAAGAGAGTAGTTTGTGATTTGATTTTTAGGTTTCTGTATCTTTTGTTTGTTTTAATAGTAATCTGGTGTTATTAAAAAAAAGATTTTAATCTTGAGAATACCTTGCATTGTTATTCATTTCCAATCTTTCATTCAAGTCTTCCCCGGAAAAAAAATAGAAGAAGGGAAAAATGGATCGAAAGCCTTGGCGCCAAGATACTCATGCCATGTTAATGTCTAAAGTCAACTAAAAGATTAAGGCTAAAGACATTTTTACCCCTATTTTTTTTTAAATGAGTGTTAGACACTCTATATTAAGGAGTGAGAAAATATTTTTCATAAATAATTTTTTTTGAAAAGCAAAATTATTGTTCTATTAGAGACTTATAATCTTTTTATTATCTATTGATGTGAAATAATTGTGAGGCTCATGCACAATAACACCAAGGCATTCTGACCTAATTTACTACTAAAATCAAGTATGATTCCTACCACTGTCATTCCCAACCCTCTTGGCCCATGTTAGATTATCAAAAAAGGTCAAAATGTCTTACTATCACGATATGTAAGCCCTACAATTATTTTACATCAATAGATAATGAAAATGATGATAGGTCTCTATTGGAAGGGTATTCTATGCATGAAAAAAATTGTTTAGAAAAGTATTGTTCCATCCTTTAGAATAAGGTATTCAATGTTTTTAAAAAATATTTAAAAAAAAAAGGTTTTTAACCCAAAGATTAATCACCATAACCATAAATATTATATGTTTTTAATAGCTCAAGATTTTTTAAGTTATTGTAATAGTACTATTTTTTCCTAAAAATAAATTATAAATAAAATCTCTCCCTCTATCTACGTGGGAACACTTTTTGTTATTAATGTTTTTAAGGAAAATCAAGACAGGTTAGATCAACATTACTTATAGGGCCAGCCAGAAACTTGACCCCAAACGTCTGAATCAAGATCTTTGGGCCAAGACTTGTAGTATGATGTTTAACCGGATGATTTTGGACTGTTTCGCAGACAGAAGATTGGACTGTCCAAGATGTTATTCAATGATATCAGACCAATACCAATTATCATCACAATGAGAACTTTATTAAAAATATATTCATAGTATTCAATAATAATTCAATCTTTTAAAAAATATTCAACCTAAATTTCTTAAATTATTATTTTTTATTTTCTTAAACGTTCTCCAATTAATCATGTGTTTTTCAAAAGCAACTAATAATAATTATCTATTTATCAATTTTATTTAGATTTTAAAATGATTACGACAATCTTTGAAATAAAATCAAGAGAAATTCTTAAATAAATTGAGTGCACTATATCATTTGTGGTCTGTCTAATTAAAATATTCTAAGTCATCTAAATAAAATATTATATGAAATTATTTTAATTAATTTTATTCTTATAATATAATGCATCTTCAATTTATTGTCTTTTCTTTTTTTATTCTTATTGATATCAAAATCAATTTAAATTTAATATCATTTAAATATCATATTTTTATTTTATAGACTACAAATGACATAACTCACCTGGTCTGTCTAAGAATTTCTCATAAAATCAATATAGGTTAGCAAGAATAATAAGAACTCTAATCATTTAAAAAAGTAATTAAAAGTTTGAATCTCAGACTTGCATATGTATCATTTTCCATCACGGCTTGATATAGGGGATATTAGACATTGCTGTCACCGTATATAATTGCTTGATTTAGAGATTGATAATCCATGAACTTATTTTGCTATATTTTAAAAAATTAAATTAATAATATTATTGTTTCAAATTAAAATGTGTTATAAAAAATAAAAGGAAAAAGTATACCTTAGCATTCAAATTCAAAATATTTATTATTTAGTCACAATCAATTTTATATTATATGTTGATATATATTGATATTGTTTATGCCATAACTATAATTTTTGAAGTCCAAGCCCAAAATGCCTTCAAATTATAATTAATATTAATTAAAAATATTCTAGAAGCAGGGGGAAGTCTCGACCACCAAGTTGAAGCACAACTCAAGTAGTTTGGAGATCAAGTTAAATACTAAATAAAAGCCACTAACTTGGGTGAATAAAAATATTCACACCCACACATAGATAAGTAATTAAAAAAATGACATGTTTATTGAAAAAAATGTTAATATTTAAAATAATTTAAATATTATAATTATTATTTATAAATATTCCTTCAAAATTTATAAATCTTCTTTTAAAAATTAGTAGCTCAACTATTTGAAATTTATAGATGAATGCCTTTTAAGAACTCAATCATTATTACTTGTGAAAAATTACATTTACTTTTAAATCACATATATATTCCTATAATCCTATTTATAAGTTAGAGAGATTATATTATTCTAACTCTAGATTTCTATTAAGACTAAATCAATAGATTCTTTCTTTTTTTCTTTTGTTTTTTTTTTGTTTTTTTTTTGACAATGAATCATTCGAACCTTTAGTGAAGAGATAAATGACTTTGATTGACATACACATCACCAAGAACAATAATGTGTTTTTTTTAAGATTAAGATAATAATCTTTCTAGATAGTGTAATTATTATCCCTACTATGTTTTCACCTACTAGTATGGTTCTTTCCTCAATTTCTATAAATTTGTCTCGTGGGAAAAAAATAAAATTATCATCTTCCCCTTAAAATATAAGCCTCTCGTTCAAAGTTGAGATTACAGTTATGGCATCCTCTTTTCATCATCTATCAACCATGCAAAATAGGTTCAGGATCTCCATTAAAATTACTTGGCAGACTATTTCAACCTATTTAGGATTTCAAAGAATAGCATCTTTTCGAATAGTTCATTCTTCTTTTATTGTTCTTTGCCAAGAGTTTCTTTGAGATGTTATTGGATATTTTCACACAGAATTATCTGATTATATCTGTGAAGAGCACCTTCAGATGATGGCACCTGGACTCACATCTTATTCTCAAGAAATACTCCGATGAAGTTCTACAACACTTTGAGATGTTCCTTTATTTGTGCATATTCAATTTAATTTTGATCCAAGGTTGATTGAGATGTCAGAGACTAATTGGGCCATAGACCAATCTATACAACAAATGTTTTTCGTTCCAGCAGCAACAAAAGCTATTTCATCACTTAGGAAGCTTAATTTGTCCAATGACAGAATAAAGATAGAACAATGTATAGCATTTGCTTAGAAGATTTAGGTGATGGCCAAGTTGTTTCAGCAATGCCATGGAATCATATTTATCATGATAATTGTATTGTCAATTGGTTACAAAAAAGTCATTTGTGTCCATTGTGTCATTTTCAAATGCCCATAGATAATAGGTTGAATTATTAGATAGGCTATATTTTTATTATTATTATTATTATTATTATTATTATTTAATTTTTACTGTTGTTCTTTTTCATCAACCAAATATACCCATAGCTTAAAAGGCTGGGATTTTATGTCTTTTCAAGGAAATTTTTTATTGCAATTCTTTTAGAATTTCAAATACCCAATTATTGGATTTATTATTTGAGCCCAAAAATTGAATACTATTTCATTATTGAACATCAATCATATTTGCGAATAAGCTATACATGATTGAACCTATTTATACACAAAGACACTAATACAATAACCATAGAGTGAAGCAAGCTTGACAATACATATCAAATAATATTTAACATGATTCAATAACTACCCTAAAGTTGAGTAGTATAAATCGAAGATTCTCAACTTAGCTAACGTGTTTCTAAAAACATCA